CCCCCCCCCCAACGCCCCTGCCATATCCCCCGCGCGTTTCTTTTCCCACCTTCTTCACGCTCCCTCCCCTACCCGCGTGACACATAGCACAATAGGACAAGGCTTACAAATCATCGAACATCATAGAACTTGCCCCTTTTTTCTTTTTTTTTTCGTTTTGAAATTAAATTCTTTTCGAAAATTTTTCTTTTTTCGCTGTTAGTTTTCTTTTTCATAGTCAGCAATTATTATTCTCTTTTCCTTGTCATTTATCTTTCAAAAATTAATTTCGCAATTAATCAATTTAGCCATTTTGAAATACTTTTGAATCTTGAAAAAATTTTCGAATATTTTGCATTTCGAAATGAATTTGTTCGGAAATACCTTAAAATTTCATTTATTCCACCAAAAAATTGCATTTCCGTTTTTGAAATTCCAAAAAGTTTTTCTTGCAAATATTTTAATTCCTTAAATAATTAAAACCCGAAAAAAAACCAAATCAACTTTTAAATCCGAATTCAACTTTCTTTTCGTTTTGAAAATTCTCGAATTTCTTTTTCAAATTTCGTTTTATTTTTCTCAAATTTAACCTTTTACTTTTCCAACATTTCTTTTCTTTTTTCAAAGTAATTCGAAAATCCCGATTTAAATTATTTTCATATTTATCAATTAAATTCGTTAAAAATTCAAAATACCCCCCCAAAATATAACATTTTTTTTTTCTATTTATTCCAATTTTATTTTTTTTGCATTTTGTCACAGAAAATAGCCCGAAATGTTTTATTGTCATTTAAAGTTTCTTCCTCCATAAATTTTTTATTGTCATTTACCATTTTTTTCCCTTCCTCCCGCCAACCTCTCCCAAAGTTCCAATCTTTTTCCTCTTCTTCTATCTTCTCCCCATTCCCCCATCCCTCCTCTCCCATCCCACCCAATTGGTCACATCATCTCAAATTCCTAATGCGTGTGACACGTATATCCTCTTTTTGTGTTTGTTTGACAATGTCGTTCATCCTGCTGTGCGGAACGCTAACCTAATAAGGTGGGATTAATCTTCGTTCTGTCTTCTTCCAACGCCGCAAACGGAATAAATTTCGGCCATTTTGTTCAAAAGTTACGTTAAATTCTTTATTTATATCAAATTATTTCATATATTAGTTTCAAATTTGACTTTATTTCATAAATTCGTAAAATAAAATTTGAAATTTACTAAATTTAATCCTTCTCACGTACACTCTACTTCTACTTTATATCCCTCGTAAAATTCCAAAATTCCGCAGTTCGTTTTGACATTCTTTTGATTTTTTTTTTTAATTCTTCTTAATTTTACAATATGTCGATACAATTTATTAATTTATCTAAATAAATTTAAAATTCCTCCCAATTCAATTTACTTAACTATCATTTAATTCTTTCTGCCATTTCATCGTAAATTCTTCAATTAGGAATTAGTCTTCTATTTTTATTTCAAATCACCTTTGAACTAATCTTAATTTCAAAAATACGTTAAGGAATTGTCCATTTTAATTCAAAATCTTGAACTTTCAAAAATTTTGACGAATATTTTTGAAATTCCTTGAATTTTGCTTCAATTTTCTTTCAATTCCGAATTTACGTCCAAATAATTTCAGAAATTTATTTTGACTTTGCGATTGCCTTATGCATGCTTTCCTTCGTGCCTCACGTCATTCTCTGAAAATCTCCTATCATTTTCTTGCTGGAATTGGGAATTTTTCTCTTCCTCCCTCAATCTGACACTGAATTTTTCTTCATTCAACTTCAGAAATTTGTTAGACTCTATTTCTTCGAGCCTTCTTTTACCAGTCCCCTAACGCAGACTCGCGCTGCACAACGACTCGCTCGCTTTGACGCGCCAATCGCTGCCACTGAGCGGCCCCCCCGTTCCCCCTCTTCATCTTCTTTATCCCCTGATTCTATGCAAAGTGTTAACTTTGCAAGTCCCTCCCGCTCCATCAACGAAGGCCTTGCGTTCCTAGCTCGTGACACCATGTCTGACTCGATGGAGATTCCCACCCCTGCGGTTGCCAGTTCGAGCCCCACCACACAGTCAGACCCTGTACTGGTCATCCTACAGCACATACGGGCCACACTCGAGGCCAAATTCACGGCCATGTAAACCAACTTCAATACTTTGTCGGACCGGCTGTTATAGATGGAGTCACGTGCAACCACATCTCCCTCCTCTCTTCCCCCCCCCCTCCTCTTTTCACACACATCTTCCTAGTGGATCACACCTGCTAGTAGATCACATCTTCCTAGTGGATCACACCTCCTAGTGCATCACATCTTCCTAGTGGATCACACCTCCTAGTGGATCACACCTTTCTCCCTCTCTCTCTCTCTCTGTTATTGTTGTTACCGTATCACATAACTTACACTTGCGACGATCTGGTAAGGAAGTGGGAACCATATACGAAGATGTTGTAGCCGTATTCTGGCGTAAGTGGCACCCCCTTCGCAACCATGTCGAAATTTGAGGTTCTTTGTGTATTTGCTGTTCATATTGCATTCCAACTCTCTCTCTCTCTCT